CGAAACTGCAGTCCACTGGTGCCTGGATGAGAACAACTTTGGGAAAGCAAGGCTATGTGAAATTCAATGGAGACGTCAGCTCTACTCATATCATTATGGGAACATTCTATTGCCAGTCCTTCATAACCTTAAACGAAATTTGGTGAATACATCTCATACTACTGATTTACTGTTGGTCTCGAAACTCTGCTCATATACGAAAAATATAAATTTTAGCTTTCCGGTTTATTGTTTACAATACTTTCATAGATATATCCAGTTTTGATTTGTTGACACTGTAACCAAGCCTAGGGACACACGATCTCGGTATTCATATCTACGACTTATTTGGCTTCTACATCGCGAGCCAACAGTTCACGAAGAGGAAGTTACTCTTTACTTATTCTATAGTCAAGTTCGCTAAAGCTTTTAGGTCAAGAACGACTCTTGATCGCAAAAACCCGTGTTTTTTTCGAACAATTTGAGAATATAGCCATAATACATAATCTCCATTGATACATTTGTCAACCACATTTAACCCGATTGCTATAGTGGACCAGTTCAGACAAATTTTTGCAGTTCGCTGACAGTGACAGCGCCAAGGATGAAATAAAGAAAGATAAGGAATTTTGCTTCAATTGCGCTTCGCTATGTAGCCCAAAAATGCTGTTCTCCTCCAGTCTAAACATCGTTAAAACCAGTCGGAAATTCCAAAATTAGCGCTTTTTAACATCTTATAAACGGAAAATTAGCATATTTCGGCAAGACTATCGTTCGCAGGACAAACCGTCATTCGTAAATTCATCATAATCAACTAAGAATGGTCCGAAATATATCACCAGCTTGGACCCACACATTCACTGGATCACAAGGAAGATGCAACTTTACAGTAAAGTGAGGCATCTCTCGATGCACATATTATGCTGTTGCCAAGGCGGCAAACTTGTATTTGTCGCAACAATTAATGACATTACTATCAACTTGGTTAGTAGCTTTACATAACCTCAGAAGATATTCGAAGGAATCGTGTTAATACAGTCATGATTTAATGTTATCGTCAGGTCCTGGCCATATTTCATTGGGGAAAATGTAAGCCTTACTTAATACATCACCTTGAAAAAACTACAAGCACCAGGTTGCGAAACATACTCACTCGTAAGGTTGTGGAACATTTGTCGGAACAACTGACGCCATTAAAGAGAACGAAGTTGTTGGCTTGGAGCCTCAAATGGCGGCGATTTTAAACAGTCTGGAAGCCAGGGACTGAAGTTCGTGTCTTTGAAAAAAGTTGTGAAGAATTCCGAAAGGGACTTCGGGAAAAATTACCCAAAAAATCTTGGTTCGCATTTGCACCACTTAGCAACAGTGTCCAGACGACGAGAAAATATGCTTAAATAAAGTCTGCTATGCTCTCTTCAAAGGAGGGCTCCAATATAATCCGGTTTCGTAGTCTTAGGCTTTCTACAAAAGAATTCAACGCAAATCACATTAGCTTGCTCATCCATGCTTGACCGACACTTTCGGGTGAGTGGAATGACTTTCATTTCGCATGGAAGCAAATGATGAATAGTTGCGTAGGCCAGTCTCACCAGAAGACGTCGTCTGATTCGCGCTGTAATGCAACCGTTTGGTATTCATACGACGTTCTAGTGGATGCAGTCACCGAGACATTCTCCAACGTTTCGGGCCAATTCGGGCTGAGCCTCCGTTTGTCATGCCACATGCAGAAGATCATCAGAGCTGGGACTCATTCTTGCAGAGGTTTCAAGTTAAGCCCAAGTCTATATGACATAAATTCTTGTTAAGAGCAAAATTTTACAAAAAGAAAATTCACATATTCTCGAATGTATTAGTGTATCTGTGTGTGTGTGTATACATGTTAATGTCCGTACGCGAAACTCAGCGTAATTAAAAGTAAGTTTAACGTCAGCCCCAGGTCGTCAAGGCTTCATGACCCGATGAAAAAGAATGACGGAGATTGCGTTAGTCTGTAGGCAACCCTTTCAGGCCAGTCGACCTGAATGGTTTAGACTGCATAAGGGGCTGACAATGGGTTTTTTTCTACAACCACATGAGTACACCTCAGGATGGCGTTGAGGTTGACTTGACTTTGCTATCCAAAAGGGGGACCTTCGTTTCGTATGAAAGTAGATGAAGAAGAGATGAGATGGTGAGATCGACCGACGAATCTCTTCTTCGTGTACTTTCATACGAAAGGAAGGTCCCGAATGACAATGTCATCCCAGGAGATTCATCGAAACCAACTTTCTCTTCGTATCCAAAAGGGGTTTTCCTTCTGTCAACCTTGCCCAGAACGTGTACATCTTCTAAATCGCAAAGAGTAGATGTGGCAAATTGGTGGTTGCTCACATTTCAAAAGTAAGTAGTAGAAACGAGTGTAATGACAAAGACATGCTTTGCAATTGTCGTCACGACGTAGAAGGTCCACTTTGGAGTACCGTTGCAGGAGCAAACTGGTTGGGCGGCGAGGGTCTGTGGAATCCAGTCAGGTCGTGAGGCCGACTCGCTTTTTGCGACAAAATATCCACTTGAGATCGTCGATTCTTCTTGCACGGATACATTTGCACGAATAGTCTTGAAAGATATTAATTCCGTAAAAATTATTCACTTTGTGATTTTAGCATTTATTTTTCATGTACAGATTATATGCTCCTACTTGAAGCCGACCGATTGGGCGAGTCAGCATCATACGCAAACGGTAGCCCATTCAGGCGAGTGTATGAGTAGGTGTACTCCGGTACACAATAATTATTAAAAAAAAGGTTGTAAATGTGTGAAATTTATTATGTTGCAAAGTTGGCTTTCGGAGAATTCCAAAGTGACTTTACATTTCTAAGAAAACCTTGGTTGCAAGAAATCAATTAATATGGTATGATGTGGCTTTCCATTTTAAAGTGAAATTTGGTTGTAAGAGTATTAATGAAATGGTCTCACCGGAAACTGAGTGAGGATTGCCGCAAAGTGAAAATGGTTGGATCCGGCGAAAAAGTCATCGGTCACCGTCCTGCGACCTCGGAGAACCTGTGCTGTGGTTTCGTCAGTACTGCCGTGACAGACAGCACCACAGTAAGAGTGGATTATTTGTGGAATAGCGTAAAAATATGCTAAATCAGAAGAGAAAAGGTGCCAGGTGGACCCTAGTCCTTTTTTGCACAACTTTCCTTGCGATCCCGATCTGGCATCCTATGATTCGGTTGGCTACCTCAAACCTACTCTACAATGAGGCCAGGGGGTCACTTTTCTTCTTGGTTTAGTATATTTATTGCGCTATTTCGTAAAGAATATAGTCTTGCTACGGTATTGTCTGTTACAGTGGTACAGAAAAAAGCTTAGCCAAAGTTACTTGGGGTCGCAGGACGCCGATATACAATTGAACAATGATCAGTCCACGGCAATTCTTCTTCCGTTGCTGGGGCGACCATTGCACCAAAACCTTTCAGGCAACTTTTCCTTTTAAATGAAAAATCATGCCAACAGTATGCCACTTAGGGAGTCTTGGAAACGGAGTTTTACTTCATAACATGTTTACAATCTTTTACTTAATACCTTTCATGCCTGAAGAGTTATCTGGAACCAGCTCCATTTTTCCTTATTTCTCATCATTTCTTATGCATGTTTTTGATTAAGGCAGTGATTCCCAAACTGTGCGCCGCATGCTCATCCATCACATTAATTATTAAATATTAATTTAATGTTAATAAAGTTAAAAAATATTGAATATACACGAGTTTTATTTATTTTTATCTCTTACTTACGAATAGTCATAATTAGGGAAAGATTTTAATTTAAAAAAGGTGCCGCGAATAGGAAAAGTTTGGGAACCACTGGATTAAAGTATAGCTTTATTTTTATAAAGCTCAGTATTGATAATCATTTAGGTTAAGGAAAGCTTTTTAGGCCCCTACGGTTGTCTTCAAATGAAGATTTTATTTTGCCAAGGAATTT